TGCTAAGATGATTAGAATTTTTTTTTTAAATAAAATAAATATTTAAAAAAAAAGAATCGTATTTATGAATTATTTATAGTTAATATGTTTCAACATGTGCTATTATAACACGTATTCAAAAAGAATCATTTTTATATTATATGTATTTGGTAAATGTTGAATCCAGCTCGTTAAACAAAGAATAATGCCACGTTATGTCAGTCGTGTAAAATAATCAAGAGTATGCTTGAATTTTTTTTTTTTTTCTTTTTGCCTTTATGTAACACTTCTGTTACCTGAGAACCCAACTCACTAATAGCATTTATATTGTTTGCCTAGTGGTTCATATAGTCCCTTTATTTATTAATTAGTAAAGAGCAAATGACATATTCCCACCTAAGGCTTAGCGAAATCTCAAATTGATATTCTTGGTTATATTTATTCTAGATTTTCACCCTAAGAGTAACGTCATTTCTTTTATTTTAACAGATTCTTAACTTTTTACTGTAGCGCGAAGCACGTTAGCACGCTAAAGTGCATTGACGCTTTCTTTGGTCAAGAAGGGATCGTGTTAGCAAAAAGCAGCTCACATTAGCACGTCCAAGCTAACGGTTTTTGGCTTGTTTCAATTAATTTCGAAGTCCAAAATCACTAATGAGACAATCGTTAGACTCCCCAGAACCTCCTCTATAAAACCCATAACTTCACTTGCCGACCTCATTCACCGTTTTCGACCACCTTCAATAGTCATTAACAGTGTTAGTTTAAGGGTGAAAATTTGGAATAAATGTAACCAAAAGTATCAACTTGGGATTTCGCTAAACCTCAGGTAGGAATATGTCGTTTACTCATTAGTTAATTATAATATTATCATCAATTTAAGTTCGAATTAAATTATTGAATGGATTGAATATAATTTTTATTTTTGTAACTAATGATAAACATCTATCCCATTTTTATGCTCACAGAAATTTAGGATGGAGTGCATTTAGAATATATTGTGGGGGTAAAAAGGGAAAGGAAGTTATGATTGATCAAAAAGCCCTAAAGCCCTTTTGATATATTGTTGGCCCAATAGGTAAAATAATGAGAGGCCCATTAATCCTCTTGTCACTTACACTTTGAAGCTCAGTTGAGTCTGAAGCCCGGGCCCAGGAGCGATCTTTGAAGGCTATTGCGCATTGTTGCAGATGATACACTGTGAGGCCATTTTTCACAAATATTATAATATATATATAATATTTTTTGAGATCTGTGGTAATACTGGATTTTATGATTTTGGAAATCTTACAATTTTTTTTATATGAATCTTACAGAGTTTTTCACATTCTATACCCAAGGTTTTTTTCATCAAATAGTTATTATTTTCGTTCTTTTAATTAACATACGGGTTGATAGGGAAAAGTTCCGGCCAATTGGTGAGCCTGGAGCCAAACTGGGTACCAAGTTGAGGTCAACGGAAATTTTTCAAGGGTCTGGCTGTTGCCAAAAAATATGGAGGCTGGTGGGGTGGGGCTATAGGGACTGGTGAAGAACACAACGTTTAGTGGGGGTGAATTAATGGTGTGATTTTGTTGGTGTTTTTCTGTTGGTTTAGACAAGGGTGATGATGCTGTGTGAGAAGATTGTGGGGAGAAGGGTGGGTGCGATTCCAACTGATCTGCACCCGATCAGATACAAATCGGTTGGAATCGTTTCCGACCAACTATTTTTTTCAGATTTTTTAATTTTTTCAAATTTTTTATATTTTTTTTTTCAATTTGGTATGGATTTGGATTTAGATTCAAATAATAAAAAGAATTTTCGTTTTTACAATAATTATACCATGTCGATTAACAGATTTTACTAACGGATCCTAATGGTGGGTGGAAAGTGTCTTTTTGAAACTTTTTCGGGTTAAAAAGTGTCTTTAAGCCAAACCTTGGGTGGGAAAATGTTGTTCTCCCTACATAGTAGTACTCCTTCAAATCACTCAAAAATTTTATTGGCACCCAACATATTGGTACTCTCAAACTCATCTTGTTAAGTACACAGTATTAAAATCAACGTTTCTTTTCATCAACTTCAACGACATTTTCAGTTGTAATTATATTGTCTATTCAATCACGTATTAATCTTTTGATTTTTTTGCATTTAAATTATGAAAAAATATATATGAACTGAAAATTTAGTTTATGACATTCTAATGGTGAAAAATGGGTATGCAAATAGCCTTATTCTTTCTTTTCTTTTTTTTCACATACACCCTCCTAGTATCATGACAATAAAATGATTGGACCTTTTCAATGATCAAATAGTTTACCACTTCATTTATCAAAATCAAAATAATCTAAATTTTTTTTTTTTTTTTTTTTTGGGATAGGGTGTCCGGATCAGTTTGTGTGTACCTCAATTAATCGCTAAAGTCTATTAAACACCTTACAAGTTAATGGATCAGATAAATCACAAAAGTGTTAGGTGATCATTTGATAGAAATCTATAGGTAACCTATGGTCTTTCCATTAGGCTAAAAGCCAAGTGGTTAAATAATTAAGGAAGCCAGTCAAAGAATTATAAAAAGTAAAATAATCTATAAGTTACCAATCCCTTTTGAAAAGTGGTTTATCTTGCTTTCTTTATGCATCATAATATTCAAACTGAGTTCAAAGCGAAACTCGATATCCAAACACTTTATGCCTACTTTATTTATAAGGAATTGGAGACATCTTGATGACATAATGGAGGCAGTGGCAGTGGCACCAAAACCCCATCCATAGTTTTCACGAGGGTTTGTTTCTTTATATAGTCAAGGTCAATATTTTAATCCAAAATTTCTTTGAAAACTAACGCATTATATAAAACATGTTTTTATAAAGAAAGTATTATCATATATATATATATATATATCAAGCTGCTGTAACATTGTAAATGGCAAACAACAAGACCAAGAAAGTGACATAACATCCGAGGCCAATGTTGGATTCAATTAGAAGTTGATTTCAAAATTGGCTGGCCGGTGCTAATTAGCAAACGAGAAAGTTGAGGAGATGGAAGATTAAATTAAAGGCGAAAAGTAGGAAGAGTAAACGAACAATGAGACCAACAAGTCATATCAATAAATCCATCTTGTATCAATAATTCAGAACAAACAATGAGTTGGTCTTGGAAATATTTTTGATTTTGTCTCCTATGGATTCGATTCAATGTATCACCAAAACAGCTCCCGGGAAAGTGAAACAGCTTGGTTCTGGACAAAAGTTTGATGCAACAGTTGCTAATACCAGAAGCTTTTTCTGTAGCCAACCAAAGGACCATAAAGGTTGGTGTTTGTTAAAGCTTTGCTTTGAAAGTGCATTATTTTATATACAGTTCCTCAAAAGCTGTTTTTGGATATATTAGTATAATAATTTTACAAATCAATAGCTATATCCTCCGTCTCTCTTTGATACAGTACACAAACAAGACGGGTGTAGGAGAATAATTGTCAAATTCCAATCCAACTGAGTGAAAATTGTCGAGTCCAACCGCCAAGGAAAAAGGTAGAGAGGATAATAATCAAATTCTATAAAATGAATCTTAGAGTGATAATAATAATATGCAGAATGGGTGAAGAAAAATGGTTAAATGGCTCACCTAATTAATTAACACGGTATCTGGGGGACAAAGACAATGGGGATACTTCATTCCAAAAGCACAGCAAAATGAATTATGAAGCAACTGTTTTATGTCCAAGTGTTGGTTTTAAGATATAGAGCAGCCGCCTTCAACCTTAATGTCAAGTTACTCCACGATTGCTCACAGAACAGACAATAACTTTAATGCCCTTCAACTGCCAAATTAAATGATGCTGCGCTCTACCATGTTGCTCTATTTTTTTTCATATTCAAAGGACACAGCCACTCATTCATCCAACTCCATCCCAGTTGTCGCCTCATCATTATGAATATCTTGATTCTTGGATAACACTTTCAACTTTCAACCCAACTTGTCCCTAACATATATAATATATATATAACTCTTCTAAACAAAGAATTATAAGTGTGTTTTTAATTTTTATTTATTTTGGAGTATTGCATTGCACAACATCGGACCGTCACTTCAAAAAAGAAAAAAAAAAAAAATTAGGCTTTTTTTGAGTGGGATAGCTGGACTTGGTCTGGACTAAATGAATGCTTAATCTTGTGCTGCTGCACTAAGTTGACCCAACGGGCAAGTCAAGTTTAGTTCGTATGTATATATAATTGAAATATTCAGATCAGTTTACATATATCTCAACTAATTTTTAGGTTCATTAAACACCATATAAACATAATATTATAAGTAAGCCACATAAACACAATATTATAAATAAACCACAAATATTGTAGATAATCCTAAGGTGGTTTAAACCCAGGAAGTCAATGACGAGAACAGTTCTTCTTGACCAAACCAACCCATTGGAAATGAGAATTAAATATAAAATATGTTTTATTTATATTTTAATTAATTAATATTTATATTTTAAAAAAAAATCAATTTGATGGCAGAGTTTGAACTTTTTATTGCATGTATCACACACACCAGGCATGGTGTATTTTTCTTTTGTATATGGGTGAAAATACAAGGATATTATTTCAAATTCCGATTGAACAAATCAATGTAATTGAATTAATGACATTCAGAAATTTTTTTGAGTTTTTTTTTTTCCTAATTTGTACCTTAATTCTTTTTATTTAAAGTAATATCTTAATTAATGTAAATAATAGAATAATGGTGTGATAATTATGATACCTTTAAATCTATTACTCGTACTCTCTTTCTTTTATCTCAAATTAGTACAATTATACCTACTTGATATTTTGAGTGAGATGGTTCCACTATTTAGATATTATTGGATATTTGTTCGAATATAATTAATTATAATAATTTGTTTGTCTTTTGTAAGAGTTGAAGTGATAAAAAGCATAAACAAATCAAATCAAATGAAAGATGAAAAGATATGAATGTCCCAAAAGAAACCTTCTTTTTGGTTTTGCCACATGATTCCAATATCTTACATTACATGAAAGCAACAATTCATTGGGACAAACGTCCAAAAGCATCACATCTTTTCCACTAATACAATACCCTTAACCTCAAATATCCTTATCAACGTAAAGGAAAAGAAACTAATCACATAAGAAAATTAAATTTTCAAATTTAAAAAAAAAAAAATACAAAGAGATTCTCTACTTCTATGATCTATCCCATGCATTGACTTCCTCTGGTCGGTGCCCAGAATAATTATCAGATCACCGTCTTCTTTCCGGGGTCCAATGCGGCAAAGCTGGGCTAAAATGCGCCGATACTACCCTTGAATCCAGTAACTCAACGATGGGCGTAAAGTTAACACACCTTGGCACTTTGTACTGATTGATCGAGGCGCCTCTCGATATTGCGTAATCCATTAACTCCTCAAACGTTCCGCTCCTCACCACGCGTATCTCCAGTGGTCCGATTGAGTTGTCTGCAACTCGTCCTTGTCGGTACACTGAGTTCAGTGACTCTTCCATTGCTAGACAACACTGGTTCAGCACCTATTTAGTGGGAGAATCTGCCGAATCTTTAACCAGTAACTCCCAGTAAATCACATAGTGGCCTGGGATTGTTTTCGTGTCGGCGTAGCTGGTGTATTCCACCACGCTGGTGTTGAATTCACATAAGCGTTGAGAGGCGTTCTGGACGGCGGCTTGTAACTCAGCTTCGTCGGTTTTGTCCGAGTCAATGCTGAGTAAGACGTTCTTTCTCCTGACGAAATGGAACTGCGGGGCTGAGTTGTGGAACCCGGTGACTCGGAGGATGTCACCGACTCGGTATCTGTACAAACCTGCGTAAGTGGTGATAACTAGCTCGTATTCTTTCCCAACTTCAACATCGACAAGGTCAACGAGTTTTGGCGGTGAGTCGCGAGTCAACCCAGCTGAGCCAGGCTCGTGAGGCAAAAACTCGAAATAAGCCATGTTTGGCATGATGGTGTAAGATACTTCCGATGGTTTGCACATGGGGTTAAGGTTAAGGCCGAAGTAACATTCCGATGAAGCATACATCGTGCATGCTAAAGGCAAGCCACCGCTGTAATAATCAAGTGTAGGAATGTATTGAGCCATAGCTCCGGTGACAATCACGTCTAAGTATTTGGTGTTCGGCCAAATTCTTGTGATAATTCCCTCCCAATTTTCTTTCGAACATTCATTTCTGATGAACGCCGCAAGCTTCTGGTCAGGCTTGAGAACTTTACTTATGCAATCTCTTATAGAAGGGTCCACGATTCTTTGGTTCAGAGTGCCGGTTTCGATATCATTGACAAGTGATTGCCAATGGAGCTGGAGGAATCTGATGGCTCTGAGCAATCCAGAGGCGAAGACGGCGCCAAGCCGGAGGACCTGCTGGCGCTCTATCAGGCCGCAGAGCATTTGTGAGTACATGCTCTGGAATGAGTCGGCGCAGAGAATGGTCTCGTTGGGGCTCGTGTAGACCATGTAGGGGTCATATGGTCTGGTCTTGAAGTGCTCACTCTTGTAGTAGCTGGTGAGCACCGGGCGAGCCAAGAGGCCGCCTGGGGTCTTTGTTTCGGATTTCACGAACAAGAAATACAGACCTTTGCCTTTGTCCAATCCAGGCACGTAACTGTAACATCAAAAACGTGTTTATTAAATAACGAAACACATGCTGATGATTAAATTTGAAGCATGTGTAATAAATTTAACACGGTTTTTTATTTATTTAATTAATTGATACTTACAGATTCATTACTGGCATGAGAAGACTGTAAAGCAACTGGCGACGATCCAGCTCTTCTTGAATGGTAGGCATGAGCTTTCTTTCACCGGCAGAAGTTCCAGAGCTGCAATTTTTTTACAAGGAAAAAATTAGAACAAAATTGAACTTGAATTTCCCTGTTTTTGTTGCATTTGTGACTGAATTAAGGAAAAAATTGATAAAGATACACACCTGGTGAGGAATTCAGAGATAGGATGCGCTGACAAAATAGCAGAACGATCACCATTAGCGATACGTTGAATTTCAGGCTGAAGATCTTCATAAGTAATCACCGGAATTTTCGACTTAAAAGTCTCTCGACCAGTGGCTCCGCCCAGTTTGAAAGGTTTGAGGTACTCAACCTCGGCGTTTCGGCTCAAAATTTCGGCCAAAACCTTCTCTTGAACCATGTCGGCATGTCTCGTGGTTTCTTCGATAAAATGTAAAGCTTTTGCGTCTTTTTCACATGCCGGAGGGCTGAGTGGAGATGAAAGGGTGGAATCAACAGCCATTTTAGAGAGAAATTTTGAGAGCCAAAAGAGAAATTAATATTCAAAGAGTTTGTTATTAGCAGAGGAGAGGAATCAGAGGATTAGTGTGGTGTGTGAAATTTGGAGAGCACCGTGTGGCTTTATATAGGAGAGAAAGACTTCTGAGGAAGTGACACGTCAAAGGACATGTCAGCAAGATGGGACCCAACAGGGTGGTCAAAGACAAAGAGGGAGCTTGGAAGGACGCCGATGGACGACTAATAGTAATGTAGGGTGAAGAAGGGGACAAGGGGTGGCCCACAACACGTAGACATGGCATGAAATATGGCAGGCATGTGGGGTTAGGTGACCGCCATGTCAGCTGACCAACAGGGGTGAGAGAGAAGAGGAGAAGGGGTCTTTGGATAATTGGATGATCACGTATAAGTTATAACGCGTACGTAACCACGCGGCTGTGTCTGGGGTAAAAGTGTTGGGCTTTGACAACGATGGGTAGCCGGCGTGTGAGGCAATTGCTACAGTGACAGGCGTGGCACGTGAGACAAATGCCCTGCCTAACCCAATGGAAAAAAAGAAATGTTGAATTGTCACTATTAGTTATGCTCTTAAAAAAAACAAAATAGCAATATAAATTTCGTGATCATATAAAAAAAGGATTTAAGTTTTTCTAATTATTGGTTACCAAATTCCAATTATTTTTGGTTTATAAAAAGAATCCATGTGAACCTTTCAAATTTTGCATTGGTTTGGTCTTTGACCTATGTTTGCACCAAATTTTTGTAATTTTTCTTGCATGTGATCATTTCACTCTTTGATTACCCTTTTTAAGCTTTAATATTAATTTTGAGAATATAAAAATTTTTAAATATTTTTTTTAACATTAATATTCACTAAAATTGTGAAAAGTTAGCTAGTGTATAAGTTATAAGAAGCAAGGTTTTAAAACTGGACCTAGCCTGACCTGTTGAATCGGGACTCGGGGGCTTCACCTAGCTAGGTTACAAATTTCAACTATCTCCAAAATTCCTAACCTAACAACTAGTGAACGAGAGGCTACCAAGTATCAGGGTTAAAGGACATTTATAGTGGAGGCAGATGGTTCAATGGGTGATGTCAAAATGAATTTTGGACAATAGAATCAGTTGGAATTTGGCACCTAATCTCGACGGTATGCACGAGTCACAACCGACGAATGGGGGGCTATCAAATGTCAAGGTTGAAAGGGCTTTGTAGAGGGGAGGCCAATGGTTCCATTGGTGGTGTTGAATTGAATTTTGGCCGTCAAAATCAGCCAAAAAAAAATCAAAGCCCTAATTGTCACAAGGGTGTTTTTGCTAGATTTCAAAATTGTTGGGACTTATTAAATTTTTGGGTGTTGTTTACAAGATTTCAAACTTTCTAGATCACCAGTCAGACCATCGGTTTAACTGGTCGGACTGGTCAACCCAAGACCCAACCCCTTGGCTAGGTGACACCTCGGGTCTTTTTGTTTTTTTAAGATTGGAGTGATATTTGATACATTATATATCTTAATGTATAACGAACCCGCATGTTTGCATTTCTTAAAAATTTACAAAACATGAATTATGAAATATATAGTGATGTGTTCTTGTCCCATAACCTTGTAAAATATTATAAGCATGTAACATGCCTCAACTTAAATATTGTGTTTTTTCGTAAATAAAATCATGATAAAATATATATTTTTTAATTTTATATTTTAAAGACTAATAATAATGTATTATTTTTCAGAACATTCCCACTTTAGCCTTACTGTATGATAATATTATTGAGTCGTCTTGCTACAAAAAAGGGACACCTCCCATTTATTACTGTCTATTTATCTTTATTTGCTTTTTTATTAATTGAGCTTCAACAGAAAATGACATTACATTAATTCAAATTGGTAGGTATGCCCAAGTTCTTTTTTGTCTATAGCATGTTTCTTGTATAATACAGAAATGAGTTCTTGTAACATAGCAAAAATAATATGTGGCAGAAGAAAGCTGCAACATTTCTCAGAAAATTTTAGAATAATTTTGGGCTATCACGTGTATGCTTTCTTTTTTTTCTTTTCTTGTCTGGAAAAACTTTGGTTTTAAAGAGAAATTACTTATTTTGGGGATGTCATTTAAAAAGTAAAATATTTCTATACTATTATTGGTGGGCTAATCAAATTATTTCCCTCTAAATTTAATTAAAGTAAATTGATTCCTTTTAATTGATTGATCTTTAAGAGTAAATGGCTTTTCCACCGTACGTTTATATTTAGTTAATACCTAAAATATATTTTACTTTCTAAGTTGACGTTTGGTGATAATAAATTATCAAGAATCAAGGTAAGATGATTTTTTATAGAATGGAGATTGATGAATTGAATAGTGATGATTAATTAAATATTTATCATTGAAAATTAGTTAAAAATAAAAAATCTTAACTTTATAATGCTGAATAATTAACCAAAAATTAAGTATATGAGTGAGAGAAATTTTATATTGAGGAAATGTTTAAATGATGGTGATGAGTAGGATTTTCACGGTGAGTGGGAAAATAGTATTTTGAACATTTGTGTTAATTAATAATGGTACAGTCAGATGAAACTGTCTAGTGATACACACTAATAAATGAAATAATAATAAAAAAAAGTACGGTAACTGAACGCAGCATTAAATGTTGATTGTAACTTAATTAATAATAAATTGAAATTTAATGTACATCTAATCAGTTTTATTTGGCGTCTGAATAGTCAAATTTATTATATTATTCTCTAATTAAAAGCCAATCATCTAGACGTAACCTCTATATTTGGTTCACATAATAACCTGTTAAGTAACTTGGGTATAATTTAATTAACGGGACAAACAAATGGTTCAGGGCTTAACTTAATTAAGTGGGATTTGGGCGTTAATGTGACGAATAATAGGAGTAATAAATTATTATATTGTCCATTAATTGTTAGTACAAAAAAGCCACTATAACTAAGACAGGAAGTCTGTTAGTAACCGTCAGAATCATATAATATATAGTTTTATAATAAGAATCTTACCATTTAATTAAATGACTCAACGGACATTACATTATCCCTTTCGTCTCCCATAAAACTTAAAAAAATTAAAATTATTTGATTCCTGTGGTGAGGTCACCTTACATCTTTTAATTCTCAACAGTTTTTTTAATTAAATTTTATGTCTTCTCTTAGTTGATATAACTTGTACATAACGAACTCTAGTTGTTGTTAAAAAGAAAAAAACTACTACGACCCGACACTTGGTGTGCTAATTGGTATTAATGAAACCCCACGAAATTTCAGAGCAATGCTCCACTAAAAGTACGCGAAACTTTATGATATAACAAAAAAATAAATAAATAAATGAAAGTTGTTGAGGTAAGTTCAAATTTGTCATTTATAAAATCAATTTTTTTTTTCTTTTTTGGATGATAAGATTGTTTAGATCAGTTTATACGTGTTTTAACTTATCTTTTAGGATCATGAAATTATTAACTTGGTAAGAGTTATAATGACTACTTCTATTAGTAACCGATGAGAGACTCAAATTTAAAATTTTTTAAATAATAAACTAAATTTTTTTTATTGAATTACTCGACTACCAAGAGATAGTTACAAAATCAAATATTTCCAACTTCTTGACTCATGCATCTCATTAATAAATTATTAAAGTCCAACATAGACGTTGGGATGACTTGTCCCACTGGCTAAGCAAGGATTTCTTGCCGGGTTTAAAGAGTCATTGTAATGGCATGCATGGGCGTCAAATTTTGGGGTCTTTTCAATTTTTTCTGATTTTCAAAGTCAAAGTTTGGATTTAAGAAGAAAGATTAAATTTTGTTTTTATTGGAAAAAATAGCTTTACAGATTACGACTTCTGGATTAAAAAAAAAAAAAATTTATAAAATAAATTATTGACTGAAATTAAAGACTTGTTGATCCAGGAAAATATTTAGAAAATAGTATTCTTGACTAAAATTAAATTAAAATCTCTGAATGATTTTAAATATGTAAGACTTAATATCATTGTCTTAAAAATATTCTATTAAATAATATTCAATTAAAAGCTTTCAGTCTTTTCTAAATAACTATTAATTACGTCTTTCGTTTAAGTAGAATTTATTAGAGTAATTTTTTATATTAAATAATTTTAAGAAATATATATATATCGCTTTCAAGGTTTTTATTGTCTACGGTATTCGTTGAACGAAATTTAGCACAAGCAGAATTTGGCGGAGAAAATAAAGTGGTTTTGGTTTTTGTTTGTGGGACCCATTATCAAAAAGTCAATCACTACTACCTAATCAAGCTTAGATCACTAATCCCACCGCGTCATGCTTATCAACTTTTTGTTTTGAATTGATCAAACATTAACTATACTACCTTTTCCTGTCCCTCTATATTACAATTGCTCAACTAGTTTTAACTTTGGGGAGTGTTTAGTCCATTTGTATTCATTTCAATTAATTTTTAAAATTTATTAAATATTTTATAAGCTTAAAAGACCATATAACTATTATTATAAGCTTAAATATTATAAACTTATAATATTATTATAATAAATGGTTCAAAAATTTAAAATTAAGAACTCACAAATATAAAAACCTCCTTAATAACTAGACCATCCCAACGTTTAGTTTTAACTTTTTTTAGCATGATTTTTTTGAAAATTCGGAAATGGAAAAAAACAGAAGAAGATGTAATAATAATTAATTTCTGTAAAATCAAGATATTTTCTGACAAAATCGATCAATAATAAATACGAACAGTATTATTTTGTTTTAAAAAAGGGGATCAAAGCGCCGGAGAATTTTACAACTTGTTTCCTCACACAAAACTATACATTTAATTTAAGTGCAAGTTGATATAAAGATGACCGTACGACAAAAGTACAACTGTATAAGCACACAAATTAGTGACATGTTGTTTGCATTTTCTTCCCTTAAGCTACAGGTAAATTTAATTAAATTAATGGACTAATATTAATTCCACGGTTGACTTGTCCGTACTTAAGATTTGTCATAACGATAAGTTGATATTTAAAAGATTTTGAAATGATAAATAGATATCTTCCGTCATGTTTTATTAGTGATTTC